CAACCAGATGTGAGAAGACTCTGAAAGCCACCAGGCTTTGATAGCTCTAGACTTCCAGGGTTTTCTCAGCCTCGTATTCCTATTTCTGTTCTGGTCTGGAGGCCACGGACCTTCTCCCACAGACTCAGCTTAATGGCATATACGTCTTTCTGAGAAAGATCTTAAGAGAAAATGCACAATGACAATAGTCCAGTCACGTGCTCCAGAACCTAAGCGTGAAGCTCCTGAGGACCCGGCCTTTCAAAATCTCAGGTAGACTTCTGTTTTTCAGAAACATACATTTTCTACGGGGCTGGTTTCTGCAAGGCACTAATCCAGTGTTGCTCAAGTGGCAGCAGCCAGCTTGGATATTAAGTTGCAAACGTTTGGACAACATTTTGTAAAAACTGAGCCATGAAACAACTTACCGCTTCCTATCAATTGATAGAGCTCTTTGAGTTTTTTTTTTGCAAAATTAACAACACTCCCAATGATTGTTCAATTAGAAGAAAATACTTATTTGTGCATAGTTATTAATGTATTTCCTTTTAAAGTTCTACTCTTGGCAGGATGTGGTGGCGCATATTTTTAGTAACAGCATTCCAGAGACAGAGGCAGGAGGATCTCTGTGAGCAGTGGCAGAACTTTGGGTCTCTGCTTTCTCAAAGGCAAGCATGAAAGTGCACAAATCAGAAAAACCTTGTCTCAAAAAAAAATGCACAAACTAATAGAGACAGATTTTATTTCATCAGTAAGATATTACTGCAATAGGGAAAATTCCAACAACTCAAACTCAATTGTATAGAGGTGACTAAATACTTTAGGGCAAGAATGAGGTAACAGGGAAGGAGCTAAGCAGGGGATCAGTAGGGCAAGGGTATTCAAAACTATAGAAAGCAGGAAGTCAGTCCATGTGCAACCTGTGTTTGTTAATGACCTCTGCCCTGAAGTAACCCTCTTAACCTCCTACAGGAAAAGCCTGAGCTCAAATCAACAGTAAATTCTTTTAAAGAGATTAATTTTTTGTTATTTTATTTTCTGTGTGTCTAGTCTCTGAGGAGGCCGGAAGAACATATTAGATTCCCTGGAACTAGAGTTACAGACAGTTGCCATGTGGGTGCTGGGAATCAAACCCAGTCTTCTGGAAAAGCAACATGTACTCTTAGTCACTGAGCCATCTCTCCAGGGAATTCTTGGTGGTCCTAAATTTCTGAAAGAGACTGATTTTTCAGACAACATAGTCTGGGAGTGCTGGTACATGCAAGTGACCCCAGCACTCTCTGGGCTGAGACAGGAGGATTAAAAGTTTGAGGACTGGAGAGATGGCTCAGTGATTAAGAGTCCTAGTTGCTCTTACAGAGGACCTGGTTTCAATTTCCAGCACCCACATGGCAGCTAACAACTGTTTGTGACTCCAGTCCCAAAGGATCCCAAGAGGATTTGACAGCCTCAAACAGACATACACGCAGGCAAAGCACCAATGTACATGAAATTAAAAAACAAAAGTTGGAGACCTTATCCTCCAAACAAACAAAAATTATACTTTAGCCAGTCAGTGGTGTCAAACACCTTTTAATTTCAGCACTTGGGAGGCAGAGGCAGGTGAATCTCTGAGTTCGAGGCCAGCCTGCTCTACAGAGCTAGTTCCTAGACATCCAGAGCTGTTACATAGAGAAACTCTGTCTTGAAGAACAAAAAAAAAAAAAAAAAAAAAAAAAGAAAGAAAAGAAAAGAAAAAAAATATACTTCATATGGTAACATTTTCTCTGTTATTTTAATTGTTACTGTGTTTTGTTCTGTTGTTATTTTTGAAACAGGTCTTGTGTAAAACAGGCTGGCCTGGACTATTGATCTTCCTGCTATCTCTGTCTCTATCTGCTTCCAATCTGAGTGTCTTTGGGATTGTCCTTCTGAAAGGACGAGGGTACAGAATGAAGATGCCTTGGCTCCCACTTTCAGAGCACCTCACTGTCTCCCACTGAACTTCCTGTATATTCCTTCACATGACTTCAGTATTAGAAGCCAGTTTCCAAATATGACACTAGGCTCAAGGTCACTGACAGAACCAATTCTAATCAAACAACAAATATTTACCACTGCTCTGTTGCTTCTAATGCACCAAACTCCTGTGTGCAGTACAACATACACTGAAAAACAAAAGTAAAAGTTACAGCTGGGCTCTGTTTCCTTTGCTGTGTGTAGATGTATCGGCTCTGCATTTTGGGCTCCAAGGTGGTCCCCAGCCACCTCCACCCCTGCATTCCGGAACTGACCCACTGACCTCTCAAACATGTCAAGTTCTCTTTGCTCTCTCCACTGTTACTTACATGGCCTTACTCCCTCATTTCTTATCAGCTTCTGCCCAAATACTACGGCTCAATGAAACCTGTCTTGATGCAGGCCACAGTGCGTACATGGAATTCAGAGGACAACTTTATAGTAGGTTCTCTTTAACCTCCATGTGGGTTCAGGGGATAGGATTTTGGTCACCAGGCTTGGACCATGAGCACCTTTACTGGCTGACTCATCTAGCTTTCCCCAAGTTCTACATTTCTTCATATCCAACTCAGTTTCCTTTCATGAATACTGATATTTATGTGCATATACTGTTTCTTTCGTGTTTGTTTTTGGGGGACAAGAGAAATAGGATCAAGCTAGAGCCAACTGCTTTTCTCACGGGAGTTAACACTGAGCATCTTCCTCAAATGCATCCTTGCCTTATTTATTTATTTATTCTTAGTTTTTAGAGGCAGGGTTTCTCTATGTAGCTCTAGTTGTCCTGTAACTCACTCTGTGGCCCAAGTTCACCCCTCTAGAGGTAGTGAGTCCTGTGAGGATGGAGCTGATATGTGAGATGGACTAAAGTCTCATGCAACAGCCATTTTTGTTTTGCTTTGTTTTGTTTTTGTTTTTTCGAGACAGGGTTTCTCTGTGTAGACTTGGCTGTCCTGGATATCACTCTGTAGACCCAGCTGGCCTTGAGCTCGCAGAGACTCACCTACCTCTGCCTCCCAATTGCTGGAATAAAGGGGTGCACCATCACTGTTTAGCCTTGCAATAGTTAATTTTATTCAGAGCATTAGACAATTTATACTGAGGACTAAGAAAAATCACATGAGTAAAGTTCTCATGAGTTCAAGCTGTATACAATCACAAGGAGAGGTCACATGTGGCAAAAACATGTTTTTCCATAACATATAAAGGATGGATAGTTTAAACATGTAATTGAATAACAACAGCCAAGCAATGAGTAATATGAAGTAAACCCACTCCTATCTGATACATCTGGGAAGAGGAAGAAAACACATTCCAAGAATGGTTCTGAGTTTTGAAGAAAATCAAGACTTTTTTTTTCAGTGTTCTCACAAGCACTCAGAATGCTCTTCACAAGACTCCAGTCCTGAACCGTGTTCCCACAGACCAGGTCAGCTTCAAACTCAGAGATTTGCTTGCCTGTGCCTCCTGAGTGTAGGGACTAAAGGCATGTGCCACCACTGACACAACTGACCAGATTTCACCTTATTTTTTGAAAGAGGCCCTCTCACTGAACTTGGAGCTTGCCAATTAGGTTAGGCTGCCTGACCAGCAAGCCCTAGGGACCAGCCTGACTTCCAGCATTCTGATTACAGGCACATGCTTCCAAATCCAGATTTTCACATGGACTCTGGGGTCTGAACTGGTCCTCATGTTTGCAAGCCAGCGCTTTGCAGTCTGAACTGTCCTCTTAGCATCCAAACATTCTTTTCACTGTATGGGTATGTTTATAGTATTACATCAGTTTAGGTGACAGGAAAAAAAAAGAATACTTTTCCTTTGTTTTTATGAGTTCCTGTTTAAGACAGACCCCTATAACAAAGCCAAATTAGCAAGAGAAAAATATTCCTTTCATCTCAGCACTCAGGAAGCAGATCTTTTTGAGTTCAATCCCAGCCAAGTCTTGAGACTATGTCTCAATAAATAAAAGAAAATCAAATAGAAGTTTGGAAGATGCCCAAGGGAAATGAGTGACTTTCCAGAAGTCAGCTTGGAATAGAAAGTGTCTTCAAAGAATAGTCAATTTTGCATAAGATGAGGAAGAAGAGTTCGACTTTCTATGGCTGGACAACTGAGAGAAGGAAAAATAAATAGCCAGAGTAAGACCCTGGGGTCAAGTTTGTTATGTGAGCTTCTTTCTGGCTGATGAAAACCTGCCAAATCCCAACACAAAATCGGTGGAGAGGCAGGAGGGTGAGGAGTTCAAAGTCAACCTGACATGCAGAGTAAGTTTGAGATCACTAGGGCTCCTTGAGATTATGTCATAAAAAAAGTGTTAAAAAAAAAAACCCTACAAGAATGTGTGCTGTTAGAATTGGGAAGCACCTTGTTTTAGAAAGTAGCACAGCTCTTCCCCATGTCTGGGAGAAACCTGGGCCTCTAGGCTGACAAGGGCAGAGGAAAGTAGAAGCAGAGAAAGATGAGCAAATGGGTTTCAAGTTAACTTTCCTTGGGAAGGCTGAAGCAGAGGGTATTTCCTTATCTCGGGTGCTAGCAGAGCCATTGGCTGTTGTACCACTATCTCCCTTTTTCTATGAATGTCAATCAAAAAAACTTAGTTTTGCTTTGGTGGCATGCAACTTCACAATGCATCTCCCTTCTTTTCCTTATCATGCAGCTAAGGAGTCCCTGGAACAAAGCTCTCACTTCGGAAAAGTTAGCGGCAGGTTTGCCTGGTTTTTTGACTGAGATTAGCCACATGTATTCACTGCAAGCACGCGATTTGGGGGGACCGCAGGGGGCATTAGTGAAGAAGTGGGGGACTCTTTCTACAGGAGAGGCGAGAAGGAAGGAGGAAAGCTGAGGTGGGTCTCAAACTGGGCCTTGGATGTGTGCTTCAAGGGACAGAGTAGACTTTGGGGAGACGGTGGTCAGGAACACGAGGTAGGGTGAGACTTGGGAGCAAAGAACTTGGATGACTCGAGTGGGCGGGGCTATGCGCCCTGGGGCGGGGCATGGGCGGGGCGAGCGAGCGCAGACTCAGAGCTCAGGGTCCGCTGGCAGACCTACTGTCAGTCTGCAGCTGCTGGAGGCCATGGGGCGCATCGTCGTGGCGCTGGTGGGCTTGCTGCTTGGCCTGGGGCTGCTGCTGGGTGAACTGGGCAGCCTGGCGAGCGCCGAACCCCGAGCCCCGCCGGACCGGATTGGTAGGTGCGGGGGATGCGGAGACGAGGCAATGCTGAGGTCTGTCTTCCCGCAGCAGGATGGAGATCGGGGTCCTGAGGACCGGGCCGTGCGCTCCCGAGCGTGGAACGGTGCCACTTGGAGACGTGGGCAGGTTCGGGACCCGGTATCCCTGCAGCCTCAGCTTGAGAGGCCCTCAGCTCTAGGAGCTAGACGCCGTCGGGAGCCCGCCTCTGTCCCTGGAGCCGAGTTGATGTCTATCTGGCAGACTGAGGCGCGCCGACACCGCACAAGGATCATCCTGTCCCCTGCCCCAGCCCTCCCCTGAAAAAGCTGGACCGCCTCCCCGCACCTGCGCTCTGCTTTCGAGGCCGCTGCTGCTGCAGCTAACCAGAGGACCGGTTATCTTCTTGACTTTGTTTGCCTCGGGTTTTTACTTCCGGGCACTCTGTCCCCATCTGAAGCTGTGTCTTTCGGGATCGTTCATGGTGTTGGGACCTCAGAGAGACAAAGAACAAAGCTGGGCGAAGATGGCGGCCACTTTATTTAAAATGCATCCAAGAGTGGCCCATTCCTGCCTCCCCAGGAAGTGGGTACAGGAGAGTCCGTGGATCTGATGGTCTTTCCATAAAGATCTGTGAAGATGTTACGGCATCTTTTGTCTTAGTGTTAGCTTGTTATTTCATCTACAGCGCCTGTCCAAATTCAGAAAGAACCCTGCCCCCAAGCTCCCCCAAGTTGTTGGTTATAATCTTGAGTAATGTCTAGTATTGGTTAATAGCCTTTCAAAAACAAAAGGCACTCTGCAAAGGGGGGAAACAAACGGTTCCTCTTTTTCCCTCCTTATAGCAATCGTTGGCGCTGGAATTGGTGGCACTTCCTCAGCCTATTACCTTCGGAAGAAATTTGGGAAGGATGTGAAGATTGACGTATTTGAAAGAGAAGAGGTTGGGGGCCGCTTGGCCACTTTGAAGGTGCAAGGTCATGACTACGAGGCAGGGGGTTCTGTCATCCACCCCCTAAATTTGCACATGAAGCGTTTTGTCAAAGAGCTGGGTATGTGATTTTGGTCTTAGGGCTAAGCAGATTTGTGTGACTGGCTCTAGGTGTTTTCATCACACAGAGAACTGAGTTGTTTCTGCTTTGTTTGTCTTGTACAGAGATGTTGGTGAAACTGTTACTCTTGTGGAGTTTAGCAGTTGGTACCGGTTTAGTTTTGAGCCACTCTCCTGTAATGAGACTCTAGTTATCTGTGTGTCATCAGTTCACTGGAATTACAACCACAGGGTGGAGTGAGGATGGCTGTTGTTATTGATTCTTTAAAAAAGTTATTTAACAATTGTATTTTAGCTACAATTTATTGTGTGTGACAGTGGGGGTGGGGCATAGCTCTGAGCGCAGAGGGCAACTGGTGGAGTCAGTTGTTTCCTTCCACCATGTGGGTCCCAGGACTTGATCTCAGGTCATTGGGCTTGGCAGCAGATGCTTTTAGGGACTGAGGCATCTTGCTGCCCCCTCCACCCCCCATCAGTTCTTAAACCCCTAGGTTTGAGTTGAAGAATCAGGGTGTTTTGAGCTAGCAGAAACCTCAGCTCGTTATTCTGGTGAGACAATGAGACCCACAGGCTTCAAACACTTGGCATGAAGTCATTCAAATAGGGTACAGAGACATGTGCTCACAGGGACACATGACACACTGCCAGCAGAGGAGCAGAGCACGTTGTGAGAAAGTCTGGCAGGCCTCTGCAAGCCCTTTTAGGGAATATTGTGTAACGTTGGCCTTTTTCCATTTACCTGGAACTCCTAGTTTTGCAAGGTAAGATAAGCGTAGGAATGGAGTACATCTTACTCTCCAGGTGCCGTTTTCACCCCTGGACGATGCTTCGTTCTCCATTACTAAGAATAGTGGGGTTAATTTTGTACGTGTACACGATCTTCTGACCCATCTCCTAGTATGACAGTTTGTGGATTGAGCAATCAGTATGAGTGTCCACCCTGTTTTAAACATAGAACTCTAATGTGTCTCCTGAGACCTGGAGACAGCCACTAAGTCACTCATTCAGGATGTCCCTGAAAGGTCCCCCAAATTCCCTTTTCATTGCGCCAATGTAGAAGCCACTGGTTTACCTTTCCTCTGGATTTTTGTGTTTTAAGATTTTTTTTTTAAATTATGTGTCTGTGTGTATATAGATGCCCACACAGGCTAGAAGAAGGCGTCAGATTCCCTGGAACTAGAGTTACAGGTGCTGCCTGTGCTAGGCACTGAGCCCAGGTCCTCTATAAGAGCAGCAAGGGCTCTTAACCACTGAGCTATCTCCCAAACCCCTCCCTCTGTTTCGGCAGGTCTTTCCAGTGTTCCGGCTTCAGGTGGCCTGATGGGGGTGTACAATGGAAAGTCTCTGGTATTTGAGGAGAGCAGCTGGTTTATAATCAACATGATTAAACTGGTGTGGCGCTACGGATTTCAGTCCCTGAGAATGCACATGTGGGTAGAAGACTTGCTGGACAAGTTCATGAGGTAACTATCCTGCTTCTGTTGAATTTTAGACCTTCTGGCCTACTGAGCGCTAGAATGTTAGTTCTCCGAACTAGTTCACCACTGAGTCACTGCCTTGTTAGGCAAAACAGTTCACAGAAAGCATGCAGATCATCACTCCATTTGGTAGCTTATCATGTAGGTTGTTTTGTTTCTCAATTGTGTTTTGCAAAGGCTGAGATGTGGCTCAATGGTTGAATACTTGCCTGGTATGCCTGACCATCCCATTTAAGGAAATGACTTTTGTACAGCATCTAATCGTGTCTGGCAACACTAAAGAAACATTTGCAAAGCACAATTCAGAAGCTGGGGTTGAGAAAAAGAAGGCATCGAGTCTCATGGCAGCTGGCTTGGGAGCTGCTGTTGGCTGTTCTTTGCAGATGTGGAAGGTAGATGATGTCCAGGTTTTAAGTGTGGAAGGCCACCGCCCACTCACCTAGGAAGTGGTAAAGCTGGTGTTCCCACTCAGGCTGACTCAATCTGGAGTGTTCCTCTTAAGCCTGCATTGTGCTGGTGGGTAGGTGAATGAGATACTGAGCATAGGAATTTATAGTAAATGTAAAACTGAAGTGAGATTTGGCTATTGGTGGGTTGTTTGTTTGTTTGTTTGTTTGTTGGTCTTTTGAGACAGAGTTTCTCTGTAGCTTTGGAACCTGTCCTAAAACTCACTCTGTAGACCATGCTTGCCTCGAACTCACAGAGATCCACTAGTCTCTTCCTCCCAAGTGCTGAAATCAAAGGTGTGCGCCACCACCCAGCTGGCTTTGGATTTTTAAATTTTTATTTTATTACCATTGTGTGTTGTATGTGACGGGAATGTGGATGCACAGAGGACAGCTTTGTTTTTTTTTGTTTGTTTGTTTTGTTTTGTTTTGTTTGTTTTTTTTTTTGGTTTTTTGAGATAGGGTTTCTCTGTATTGTTTTGGAGGCTGTCCTGGAACTAGCTCTGTAGACCAGGCTGGTCTCGAACTCACAGAGATCTGCCTGCCTCTGCCTCCCAAGTGCTGGGACTAAAGACGTGAGCCACCACCGCCCAGCCAGAGGACAGCTTTTGTGAATCAGGTCTCTTCCCAATATGGGCTTTGGGCATTAAACTCGGGCCATCTGGCTTGTGAGGCAAAATGCTTTTTATCTGCTGAACCATCTTGCCATCCCTGTTTCTTTTTCTTTTACTGTCAGATTATGTATTCTAGACTTTAAGTGAGACTTAAAGCACAGATGTCTTGGGATGAAAGGCAGAGGGGAGGAACAGAGGTCTGTGAAAGATGAGATTAAGCAGTGCCTGGTAGGGGGAACTAAAACATCAAGCAGAGACATGGAAGTCAATTCATTACTAAAAAACAAAACAAAACAAAAATGAAAAAAACCAACTGTATGTATGTTTAGTCTGCATGTATGTCTGTGATCCTGTGCATGCCTGGTGTCTGAAGAGGTCAGAAGAGGGCATCAGAACTCTTGGGGAAAGAGTTGCGGTGATTATGAGCTGCCACGTGGGTGCTGGGAACAGAACTCTGGTCCTCTGCAAGAGCAGCAGCATTCGTCATGTTGTGGTCTTGTTTTTTGTTTGTTGGTTTAGTTTGGTTTGGTTTGGCTTTTCAAGACAGGACTTCTCTGTGTAACAGCTCTGGCTGTCCTGGAACTCACTTTTTAGATCAGACTGGCCTTGAACCCACAGAGATCTTCCTGAATGCTGTGATTAAAAGTGTGTACCACCAGCACTTGGTGATTTTTTTTTTAAAGACAGAATTTCACAAACTGGTGGTGGTGCACACCCCCTTTAATCCCACCACTTGGGAGGCAGAGGCAGACTGATCTCTGAATTTGAGGTCAGCATGGTCTACAGTTAGAGTTTCAAAACAGCTAGGGCTACAGGGAAACCCTGTCTTGAAAAACAAACAAACAAACAAACAGGACAGAATTTTACAGTTTATCCAGGGCTGGTCTGTGATTTGAAATCCTCCTGCCTCAGCCTCCCAAGTCTGGTATCACTTTCATCCTTCTGAGTCTGTTTGTGGCCCCTGTTCTGCATGGGGTTTAATGACCATTTCTCTTTCTTTCAAGGATCTATCGTTATCAGTCCCATGACTATGCCTTCAGCAGTGTAGAAAAGTTAATGTTCGCTATTGGAGGGGATGACTACCTCCGACTGCTTAACCAGACTCTCCGTGAAAACCTGCAGAAGGCAGGCTTCTCTGAGACGTTCCTCAATGAGATGGTCGCTCCTATCATGAGGGTCAATTTTGGTCAGAGCACCGACCTCAACGCCTTTGTGGGTAAGAGGCTATTGGAGGAAATCAGGGATGGCCTTAGCTAAGCAAGTTAGCCACTGACGAGGGAGCTCTGGCATCAGGCTTGGGATGGAGGATGCTGCCTTTCTTAGTGCCTCAAGCATTTTTGCCAACAGTTTATTTTTACCTGTGAGTTGTTAGGGGTAGAGGGTCATGTGCTTCTGTTAGTTCCAGTGTCTCTCACCTGGGCAAGACCTTTGCCCCTGAAGGTCACCTGACAGTGTCTGGAGGCATTGGAGCAGGACACCTAAGTGGATGGGAGGGGACCACTTACCAACCAAGACAGAATTAAAGCATGTTTTTGCCCCCTCCTGACAGGGGCAGTGTCAATGACAGCTGCCGATTCTAACCTGTGGGCGGTGGAAGGTGGTAATAAAGTTGTTTGCTCAGGGCTCCTTCAGGCTTCCAGCAGCAACCTTATCACTGGCTCCGTAGTGTCCATAGAGGAGAAGACAAGGACCAAGCAGACAGGTGAGGCTGAACTTTGTTCCTGGTGTTCTTGTAAAAATGACAGCTCAGGGAGAAAGTATCACACACACACACACACACACACACACACACTTTTTTATTTTTTTTAAAGATAGGGTTTTTGTATCTAAAGTAGCTCTGGTTGTCCTAGAACTCACTCACTATGTGTACTGTGTTGACCTCAGACTCACAGAGATCCACTTGCCTCTGCCTCCTAAATTCTGAGATTAAAGCTATATGCCACTAAGTCTAGCTTTTTACATTGGTATTGTAGATTTGAACTCAGATCCCATAATTCTATAACTTCTAATAGCATCTCTATGCTTGTAATATATCCAACTGTATTACATTGAGGAAAATTTCTACTCAGTAAGAACAAAATGTGGAACATTCCCTTTGAGAATGAGTTTTTTTCCATATCCCATGAGCCATGGTCATGCCCTTTAGTCTAGCTGGGAACATTTTTGCATGAGGATTGTGAAGTTTCGTTGTTTTGGAACTTTGTAAGAGATACCAGAAGAAAAGATTTTTCTGGCCTGGGGAAATAGTTCAGTGGGTAAGAGCACTTGCTTCATAAGCATGAGGAGCTGAGTTCAAATCCCTAGCACCCATGTCTAAAAAAGAAAGCTAGATGTCTCTCATATATGCCTGTAATCCCAGTATGTTGGAGAATATAGGCAGAAATAATGCTACGGTTTGTTGCTAGTTCTAGTTCAGTGAAAGACCCTGTTTCAAGAGAATAAGGCAAAGAGCTATGGGATATGATACCCCATGTCCTCTTCTAGCCTTCGTGGGCATGTCCAGATGCAGACACATCCATGCTTAAGTGTGTGTACATAACCTGTACTCACAGCACACATACATACTAGAATCATGGGTTGGGTGTGCATCTTGGTTGGTGGAGTACTTGCCATGGGTTTGCTCTCCAGCACTGCAAAAGCTAGGTGATGGCACATACCTTATTCTTATTTTATGTTTATTGGTGTTTTGCCTACATGTATGTCTGTGTGAGGGTGCCAGATCCCCTGGAACTGGAGTTACAGACAGCATGAGCCACCATGTGGGTGCTGGGAATTGAACCCGGGTCCTCTGGAAGAGTAGCCAGTGCTCTTAACTGCTGAGCAGTCTTTCCAGCCTCTGGCACATACCTTATAATTCCAGTCTTCCAGAAGTGGAAACAGGGAAATCAGAAGTTCAAGGTTATCTTTGGCAGTGTAGTGAGTTTGAAGGCAGCTTAAGCTACACAAGGCACTGTCTCAAAAATAAAAGCAGGGCTGGGAAGATAAGAGCCTTTTCAATACAATGCTTGCCACACAAGCATGGGAGCTTGAGTTTGATCCCAGGACCCACATATAGAGCTGGGCATTTTGGCAAGTGCTTGTAATTGTGGTGCTGGAGACAGTAGAGACAGGGAAATCCTTGGGGCTCACTGGTAGCCAACCTATGGTAGCTGGTGAGCTACGGTGAGAGGAAAGCAAGGTGGGAGGCTAGAGAGATGACTCAGTGTGAGAGCATTTGCTGCTCTTGCAAAGAACCTAAGTTCAATTCCCAACACCCACTTGGCAGCTTATAGTTGCCTGTGACTCCAGTTCCAGAGGATCTAACACCCTTTTCTGGCTCCACAGGCACCAGGCTTGCACTTAGTACACAAACATACACGTGGGCAAACATTTCAATACATAAAATGATTAAAAAATAAATCTTAAAAAAAAATAAAGACAAAAAACAAGATGGACAGCTCCTGGGGGTGGGGTAGGGTGACACTTGAGGTTCACCACTGGCCTCCACACACAAATGCACATGTACACAAACAAAGAAGACAAAAAAATGTTACAGAATGATTTTGAGAAGGCCTGATATTGAGTGTGTTAGAAGCACTTAGAAATCCATGCTTTCTTGTGCTCTCTAGGAAACCCCACAAAAATGTATGAAGTGGTATATAAAACAGGATCTGAGACCCGTTCTGAGTTCTACGACATTGTCCTTGTGGCTGCTCCATTGAACCGCAAGATGTCCGGCATAACTTTCCTCAATTTTGATCCGCCCATTGAAGAATTCAATGACCCATATCAACACCTGGTGACAACTCTCATCAAAGGAGAACTCAATTCCACTCTCTTCAGCTTCAGACCCAAGGACCAGTTTGGCCTCTCCACAGTTCTTGTCACTGATGACTCAGATATGTTTGTTAACAGCCTGTCCATTGTGGCTTCTGTAAAAGAGAAGGAGGGTCTTGCACGGTCAGTGGATGGCATGCAAGTGTGGAAGACCTTCTCTAGGGACATTCTCACCAAAGAGCAGATTTCAAAGCTCTTCCTGTCCTATGATTATGCTGCTCGGAAGCCATGGCTGTCCTATCCTTACTATGAGCCCCCTCAGAAGTGTCCCTCCATCATCCTCCATGACCGGCTCTATTACCTCAACGGCATTGAGTTTGCTGCCAGCTGCATGGAGATGAGCGCCATTGCTGGCTACAACGCAGCTCTCCTTGCCTACCACCGCTGGAATGGCAATGAGAACATGATTGACCAGGATGACCTGTATGAAAAACTTAAAACTGAGCTATAACTGAGCGCTGCCCCTCCCCAGCGCATCCTGCTCTTGAAGGACTGAGTCAGCAGGGATGATTTTGAATCTTTACCAGCACTCTTCATGTGGGTCATGAGAAAACACAGAGTTCTGTTCACCGGAGAACTTGACCTTCGGCCAGAATGTCTTCACTCTTCCGTTCTGGGGGGAGGTACAGGCGGATCGAACTAGGGCGCGCTAGGCAAACGCTCTACTATTGAGCTGAGCTACACCCAGCCCTCTTTGTTGTTTTTCTTTTGAGACTGAGTCTCGCTAAGTTGTCCAAGAGGAATCCTCCTGCCTCAGCCTCCCAAGTACCCCCAGGCTCTCATCGTTAGGTCTGGCTTTTAACTGTGTGTGGGACACTGGCAGAGTTTCCCAGACTTGAAGGTCTTTTTTTTTTTCTTTTTCTTTTTCTGTTCGTTTACTTTTTTTTTTTTTTTTTGACAGGGTTTGTCTGTGTAACAGTCCTGGCTGTGGCTGTCCTGGAACTATCTGTGTAGACCAGGCTGGCCTAGAGCTCACAGTTTGCCCTGCCTCTGCCTCTCAAGTGCTAAGATTAAAGGAGTGTGCCACCACTGACTGGTGTTTGAAGAGTCACCTGGAACTTGGTAAACATCTGGATTTGAATTCAGTGGGATGACTGTGGGTGAACCTGAGTTTGCTTCAAATTGTAGAGCAATTTTTTTCTCTATTTTTTTCCCCTTTGTGGGAGGGTGTTTAAACTGTCCTACTCACACCCCAGGCTGGAACTCATTATGTACCCTAGGCTGGGTACATCTTCCTGTCTCAGCCTCCCATGTGCTGGGATACAAGCACGAGGTCCAAGTCCTGGCAGTTTACACTTTGTTATGCAGTGTGCTCAAGTCTGAAGTCATGACTTTAAGAATGTGATTTTTTTTATTGTTTTTGTCTTGGTTTTATCATGGATAGATTCAGATATAGAAAGAGAAGATATCCTGTGAAATGGGAACAGGATAGAAACTATTAAATCAAGAAATTGACACTTTAATACAATGCCCTCATGTAAGGAGGTCTGTGTTTTCCTACTTGTGCTAGGAATTGAACCCAAGACCCTGAGTATTCCAGGCAAGGATGAGTGCTCTTCCACTGATCTACATTCCCAGCCCTAAGAGCTTCAAGGCCTCACATCCAGAAAATGGGATTTCCTGGCCTGGGTTGAGGATGGGGTCTTGGCACTGTAGCTTTGTAAAGTTAAAGTTCCTAGCCTGTAGCCAAAGGTGAGCAAGTCCTGGATGTGGGGTTAAACCTACAGAGAACTTTGAGTGCCTTAAAAGTGCTAAGGAACACAAACCATGACCTCAGCAGACTATCCTCAGCAGTGATCTCCATGGGGACTAGCACTGCCGCAGAGGCAGCTTGGGTGAGCCCAGAGCAGCTGGCCTTAATATGGGGTCTTCATGGTGACCTGATTCAGAGGGAATCACTCAGATGTCAGGCATTCAGAGGCCTGAAATCTTAAAACAGTGAGGGTCTCTCAGCTGTGGTTGCCTGTGGGAGTCCAGGCTTCTCCTGCAGCCAAGCTCAAGAAATCTAGCTTTTTGTCCACCAGTGACTAGTATTAAGAGAAAAAAAGTAATTTTGCCTGTAATCTCAGTACTTTTATGGCAGAAGCAAGGGGATCAAGAGTTCAAGGCCAGCCTGGGCTGTAACAATGCCCTGTCTCAAGAAATAAAAACCAACTCTCTTCACCGGATTATAGTACTACATCAGCAAAGTGTTCTAAGAAAATACTGATTCTTAAAAATTATTTTTCCCTTGTACTGCTGTGGGTATTAATAGTGTGTGGAGAAAGCAGCCATGATATATTTGGTATAGTGACAGGAATTAAACTTATAGTTTATCAAAAGGTTGGCATTTTTTCTGATGTGTTCAGAGACATGTGTATTTTTCCCTGTTGTGGTTTTAATGAACATGGTTTGTCAAGAATATAAGAACACTGTTGTGGATTTGGTACAGCAGCTCCTCAACTGAGGGATGTTTCATGACCCCCAGTGTGCCACCAGAGCTGGGAAGCAGTGAGTCCGTATGTTCTATTCTCCACATGTACAATATACCTGTGAAAAGTTTTAATTTATAAATTCGACACAGTAAGGGATTAACATTAATTGTAAAACAGAAAAATGGTAACAATTTACCCATAATGGAAATCAATTAAAACTTACAACTTATTTCTGGTATTTTCTTTCTTTTTCTAGATAGGGTCTCACTATGCAGCCTTGGCTGGCCTCAGAGTCATAGAGACAGCTTTCTTCTCCCTAACCCCCCTACCACCCCCTATCCCCCCGCCCCATGTGCTGGGTCTAAAGTGTGTGCCACCACACTCACCACTATTTCTGGTATTTTTTTTTTTTTTATTGGTTTTTCCATACATGGTTTCTTTGTGTTGCTATGGTTGTCCTGGAACTCGCTCTGTAGACAAACTGGCCTTGAACTCACAGAGATCTGCCAGCTTCTGCTTCATGAGTGCTAGGATTAAAGGCATCTGCCTCCATCACCCAGCTTATTTCTGGTATTTTCCACTGGGTATTTTTTGACCATTAACTGCAGACAGATCAGCAAAAGCTGCGCCACCTATAGGAGGGTTGCTGCAAATGCAGGAAATAGGAGATAATTAAATTTCTACACTTTGTGGGATGTATTTGGGTTTGTAATCTAAGCTATTGCTAGTGGGTGGGAGAGTTGGCTCTGTGGTTTAGAGCATTGGCTATTCTTCCAGAGGACCTCAGTTCATTTCCCAGCACCACATGGCAGCTCACAACTGTCTGTAAATCTGATTTCAGGGGTCTAGGCATACTCTTGGTGCACAGACATACATGCAGACAAAATACAAATGCATATAAGAAAAATTTTAAAATCAGTATGGTGGCACACACCCTTAATCCCAGCACTTGGGAGGCAGAGGCAGGCGGATCTGTGAGTTCTGTGCTAGTATGGTCTACAGAGTGAGTTCTGGGCCAGCCAGGACAACACACCGAGAGCTTGTCTAAAATAATAATAGTAATAATAATAAGGCCCCTGTTGAAAAAAATTTATTAAATCAAGTTTAATGTTAAAATGTATATGGCCCCATCTTTAGGCAGGAGGAAGATAGGCCATTTGGAGAAGGGTCATGCATTTCTCTGCAGAACAGCCATTATATAAACTTAGCTTAAGACTTCTGAGATGTTTATACAGTGCCTCAAGGAAGTTCAAAGCCAAGGCACAATCAGCAGAACATGGTACACTCCAAAACTGTGTGCTCTCTCCCTAGAGATGATAAGAATGTTCCAGGGCTATTTACATTTTCACACAGGGGATGCTTTGGGGGGAGGAAGGATGCATTTCTGAACATACTCAATTTAAGATGTAACTTACTGAGCTAGGTGTTTGTGTCACACACCTTTAATCTCAGCACTGGGAGGCAGAGGCAGGTGGATCTCTGAGGTCAGCCTGGTCTATGTAGTGAGTTCTAGGATGTCAGAGCTATGTAGAGAGACCCAGTCTCAGAGAGAGAGAGAGAGAGAAAGAGAGAGAGAGAGAGAGAGAGAGAGAGAGAGAGAGAGAGAGAGAGAGAGAGAGAGAGAGATTCAACATGGAAAGATGGTGAAGATTGACAACCTGCTCCCTTCCAATAAGCACAGCCATGAAGAGGCCTCAATAGATGCTGGGTGGAAGATCACATGTATTGACTGGTGTCACAACGGTCACTGGGAATGTCAGCAGCTGGAAGGGAGGCTATGGGAAGGGGTAGTGAGGGCTCAGAGAGGCTGGTTGACCAGGGGCTTTTACAAGCCAGCTTCTTGCCCTCAGCACCGCCCCCCCCCCAGTGTTACAGCAACTTGGCAATTGGAGCTGCCTCAGGCACCAGAGCTGGTGAGCTTGTGCGTTGGGTCCAGCTTGTTCACTTACAAGTCAAAGTTCTGCCTGGAGCTATAGGGACAAGTCAAGTGTAGCAGTAAAAGCATTGACTAGCATTATAAAGATATGCGTCTAGAAGAGGAGGAGATACAGGGAGTAGTTCCCTGTTACCCCCCTCTGAAGGGGAGTTCTTTCATAACAGTTTGATGGACCTTACACTGTCTTCTTTCTTAGGAGCTTCTTTTATTATTTGATGTGTATGTGTGTTTGTCTGCATAGATGTATGTGCACTGCATTTGTGCCTGGTGCCTGCAGAGGCATCAGAGCCCCTGGAACAGGAGGCACAGATGGTTGTGAGCTGCCATGTAGATTCTGGGAGTCAAACCGAGTCCCCTGGAAGAGCAGCCAGTGCTCCTTACCACTAAGCCATCTCTCCAGGAGTGCACCTTACAGATCTTTTTTGAGATTGCCCGTGGAGGGAATCTGGCGATGGGTCATTAGGAGTTAGGGTCTGAATGTTTAAGATATCACAAGTCACTTGGGACAGGCTCCAAGCTGTGGTCTGATTGTTACAGTGTGGGAATTTTTGCTTTGCTGTTATCCTGCTCCTTCTTATGCTAGTCCCTGACAGCTGCAATGTCAAATCATTGCCAAGGGAAGAAGCTAATCTGGAGCATCTGAACAGAGGCCTGGTTAGCCTTAGTGATCTGTCAGGGTTATGGGACTATAAGGCATTGAAGGTGGAGGGAACAGGCAAAAGCCCCTTGGCCTGAGCACTGCCATTTTGACTTCAGATTCCATTTTACCTGCAGGATGAAATAAAATTCAGGTTCCCAAGCCCTAGGGAAGCTGAGTGCTTTCAATGATTGACCTACCTCCTCCCTAAACCATGGAAATAGTCATTATGCATCTTTAGTTCTTTAGAAACATTATGCCTGTTCCTAATACAAGAAAGAACAAATGAATCTGATTGGCTGGACTGAAAGGCTTGCATTGTATATTGATTGACAATGGTGGAACATTTAAGGGAACCCCTAATCTCTAATCCTGATTGGTGAAAATTGTAACTGTAACTTGGCAACAAATGTTCATGATTTGTGTGCATATAAACCCTGCTTCTGCTCCTGCCCAGGGCTGTCAGGAGAAACAAGGCTGCAGAGTCCTTGTCCTGCAGCCCTGATTGATCTGTGACCACTTATGTGGTGATTTAATAAAATCTTTGGAACCATAAGTGTTGTCTCTCCTTCCTCGTGGCACATAATGGACTGGATGTAACAAGTGCTCCACAGGCATTTTGTAGTAGAAAAAGTTGTTACCACAAGAGGTTTAAGGCTGGAATAGGTCCTTGGTGGTAAGAAGCAGGCTTGATCTGGTGGTGGCTGTTGATATCCCTGAGACCATACCATCTGGAGACCACACCATAATGGACCACACCATTAAGGCCTGTGATCTGGAAGATTCTAGTAGTACCAGAAGAGTAAATAAGCAAAGGCTGGAAGGAAGAAAAATGTTGTTAGCAGACCCCAGAGTGGTCATAACTAGGAAGGCCAGCCCCATGGCTATTCCATAGGAGCCATTTCTCAAAGGCTCTCTCTTAAATCAGGTGTCTGTCATTTTAGGGTTCTAGCTGCAAAACTGACTGGCAGGGATACAGCAGTCTTCTACCAGGACCAGCCAGAAGCCCCTTGTGGCCCTGTAAGCATGTCCAGGACACGGTGATTTTGAAGCACCCTGAGCAGGAGGAGCAGCCTGGTCCTGAAGGGCCTAAAGGGTCACTGAGATGTGGTCTAGTCCCATAACTAATTTGGCTGACAAATTATGGCAAGCATAAGAAGAAACCCAAGTCTAAACCAGGATCCCTTATATACTATATGATCAGCTTATCTCTTCCTTTTTGTTTGAATATCTTTAGGTTTTTTGAGGATCAGGATATTCTTTTTTTTTTTTTTTTTTTTTTTTTGGTTTTTCGAGACAGGGTTTCTCTGTGGCTTTGGAGGCTGTCCTGGAACTCACTTTGTAGACCAGGCTGGCCTCGAACTCACAGAGATCCGCCTGCCTCTGCCTCCCGAGTGCTGGGATTAAAGGCGTGCGCCACCAACGCCCAGCTGGCTCAGGATATTCTTAAAATATTAGTTTTGGAATTAATATTTGGAAGAAAATATTAGTTTCTAAGCACTCTGATACCAATGAGAGTGGAGGAAAGAGATGTAGACTCCAGTGGACCAAAGCCGGGACAGCTCTTTAAAGGCCTCCACCCCAGGTCCAAGCTGTATTCTCATTTTATATCTAAAACCACTAGGAGGATGAACAAGCACGTGAGATTTTACAGAAGTATGCTTGGCAGTCAGACTTCTGTTTTTAGAGGCATAAATTATAGTTGACAGTGTAAGTTTTTGTGGCCAGGTTGTTAAGGGCAACAACACATTGTTTCGGCTATGACTCCAGGTCATTCTGTTCCAGATAGCAAGTAAAATCATGCCTAAGACAGAGCAGTTCAAACAGTGCTTTAAGAAACTCTAGGAGAGATGGCTCAGCAGTTAAGAGCACTGGCTGTTTTTCCAGAGGTCTGGAGTTCAATTCCCAGCACCCACATGGTGGCTCAGCCATCTATAGTGGTATCTGATGCCTTATGGCATAAAGCTGTACATGCAGATAGAGCACTCATTAAGCTGGGCGTTGGTGGCGCACGCCTTTAATCCCAGCACTAGGGAGGCAGAGGCAGGTAGATCTCTGTGAGTTCCAGGCCAGACTGGTCTACAGAGCTAGTGCTAGTTCCAGGACAGCCTCCAAAACAATACAGAGAAACCCTGTCTCGAAAAACCAAAAAGAAAAAAGAAAAAGAAACTCTAATAATTATATAAAAAAGTTATTCACCAGTAATTAGTCTTAAAAAAACAATTACTCGACGGGCGATGGTGGCACATGACTTTAATCCCAGCACTTGGGAGGCAGAGACAGGCAGATCTCTGTGAGAACACTTATTCTACTTCAATGTATGTGCTTGCATTTATGGGGATGTCCATGAAGGCCAAAAGGAGTTAGAGGCAGCTGTGAGCTGTCCAGTGTGGGTATTGGTAAATGAATTCAGAACCCCTGAAAGAACAGCAAGCCTTAACTGCTGAACCATCTCTCTAGCTCCTTAGGTCAAGTTAATTAATTCATTTACTTATTTTGAGATAGGATCTTTTTATGTAGCCCTGGATTTCTTGGAAGTCACTCTGTAGACCAGGCTGGCCTTGAATTCACGGAGATCTGCCTTCCTCTGCCTCCTGAGTGCTGTGATTAAAAGGCATACTCCACCATGCCTGGTTTTAGGCCATAATTTTTTTTTTTTTTGGTTTTTCGAGACAGGGTTTCTCTGTGGCTTTGGAGGCTGTCCTGGAACTCGCTCTGTAGACCAGGCTGGTCTCGAACTCACAGAGATCCACCTGCCTCTGCCTCCCCACTGCTGGGATTAAAGGCATGCGCCACCAACGCCTGGCGTTTAGGCCATAATTTTTAAAAGAGGAAATAGGAGAATTTCAGATTTTGGAACTAGGTCAAGAGACATAACATATACAGAGTTACCAGGGTGGTTTGGAGAGCCCTGATGTAGCCTGTAACTGACTGTCTAGAATACTAAGTCCAAACCACCAGGAAGGTCCCTGTGGGAAATCTTAGCTAACTGGTCTACTAAGCATCGATGGCTAGAGGAAAGTTACTTGCTGTTACACAACAAAGCCTGTGTGGTAGATTAAGGAAAAAGATGACTTTCAAATAGGTCATTGAGATCCCAACTCAGTTTACAGTTCAAAAAATTTCCCCAAAGATCAGAAAAACAACCAAAATACCACATGTTCAACATTTTTCTCTTCCCCTGTGACAGCTAGGGTGTTGTTGAAGACAGACTCCACAGGAAACGTCCTGGCGGCTCTGTGCCTTAGTTGTCTGTCCCACTGGCAGCCCCTTTCACTTCAGCCTGACAAGAAGAAGCTGTAGCTAAGCACACAGTGGTAGCCTTCAATCACAGCTTGGCAGAACCGCTGTGTTGTTCTAGAAGGAGCTCACTCACACCACATGCATACCCCATCTCCACTGCTCTTAGCTCAGGCCTTCTCCCAGACCACAAACACGTCTCAAGCCTTGCTTAGGATGATTGAAGGCTAGAAGGCTGTCACCTGCCATGCACCTCTCTTGGGTCTGTGAGGCACAAGTAAGTTCTGAGCTGGATGGCCTTCTGACGAGCAGCATCTGCATTACCTGTCTCAGGGGGAACTGGCACACATGTTTCTACCCTTCTTAGAGACTCCCCATGTCACACACAAGCAGCCACATTGGTACTTCCTGGGTGTCACTGGTCTTTTTTTGTTTGTTTTGTTTTTTTTGAGACAGGGTTTCTCTGTGGCTTTGGAGGCTGTCCTGGAACTCGCTCTGTAGACCAGGCTGGCCTCGAACTCACAGAGATCCTCCTGCCTCTGCCTCCCGAGTGCTGGGATTAAAGGCGTGCGCCATCAACGCCCGGCTGTCACTGGTCTTATACTGGAGAGATTTCTACTGTGCATGGGGCACATGGGGAGTTTGCTCAGTTTGAACCCAGGGCCTTATGCAGGCTACGCTTGTATTCTGAATTGCATCACAGTCCTGGTATAATATGATTAGGACATAGGAACAAGATGGCCGGAGGAGGATAAAGGCGAACAAAAGGCCTCTTGGAGGACATGAAACCACAGAGGCCTGTTAGAAGAGATCCATATCTAAATTGGAGTTATAAACTTTATGAGACACCAAGTCACCATGGCTCAAGCCTCCTGAGGACTGGGGTTACCTGCATGTGCCACTGTACCCATTTATCTTTAAAAAGGAACCATAATTCCTATCATACAGACAAGCTATTGTAACTATGGTGCTGAGATCCAGAGGACTGAGATTATAGGTGTGTACTGCTGGACTTTGCCTTGAAAGAAGTGATAACACGAACCGTTGGTTTCTATTTAAATCATTATAAGATCTTTTAAGATCTGAAGCTCTCCTATACTAGCCCAGTTTTGACATTTTCATTTCCATCAACAGTGTATAATATACTTCAATTTCTCCACATCCTCAATGCTTGTTATTATTAAAAATTTGTATTTAACTTGATTTTTGACTTTATTTATTTGGCTATTTCTGGTTGTGGTTTTGCATTTTTCTGAATAAAGGTTGTACTTTCTTGTACCCATTTGTTTGTTAGGGAAAAATATAGATTCAATTTTCTTGCCTGTTTTATTTTTAAAACTTCTGTACTCTAATGAACTAACTAATAAAAATGACACACAGCTAGATTAAGGTAAGCACTTAAATCCTGACATCAGGATCCCCAAAGATGTTTGCATTTCCAAGGAAGCTGAGCTTGAGTCTGGCGCCTTAGACCACTTGGCTACCCTGACAAGATGTTTGCATTTCCATAGTTACTACATTATTAACAATGATGCTGGACTGGAGAGAAGGCTCAGTGGTTAAGAGCACTGGCTGGGGCCGGGCGTTGGTGGCGCACGCCTTTAATCCCAGCACTCGGGAGGCAGAGGCAGGCGGATCTCTGTGAGTTCAAGACCAGCCTGGACTACCAAGCGAGTTCCAGGACAGCCTCCAAAGCCACAGAGAAACCCTGTCTCGAAAAACCAAAAAAAAAAAAAAAAAAAAGAGCACTGGCTGGTCTTCCAGAGGTCCTGAGTTCAATTGCCAGGAACAGCATACCACGTTGTAGCTCACAACCATCTATAGTGGGATCTGATGCCCTCTTCTGGCATAAAGTCTTACATGCAGATAGAGCACTCATACATAAAATAAACAAATATTAAAAACAACAATGATGCTGATCTCTCCAACAGATAAAAAAAAAATGGGGGAAGGCTCAATAGTTAAGAACACTGGCTTAGAGGACCTGGGTTCAGTTCCCAGAACCCAGATGTTGGCTTACAGCCATATGTAACTCCAGTTCAAGAGGATTCAATGCCCTGTGGGTACTTCATGCATGTGGTGTGCACAGACATACATGCAGGAAAATACCCATACACATAAAATCATAAAAATAATTTTAAAAGAATGACCTACAGTCAGCAAAGCAGACAAATTTCATAAATTATAAAAGAGGAAAATAGGGGGAAGATACAGATATGAATGTGATTGTCAAATAGACAGCACTCGGGAGACAGGGGCAGGCGGGTCTCTGTGAGTTTGAGGTCAGTTTAGTCTACAAAGCTACACAGAGAAACTCTGATTTGAAAAACAAAAACAAAACAAAAGAACACCTTGCTCTTGAAGAGGACTCAGGTTTTATTTCCAGCACCCACATAGGGCTCAGAAACATCTGAGACTCCAGTGCTAGTGAATTCAATGTTCTCTTCTGAACTCCGTGGGTACTAGGCACTCAAGTGGTGTACAGACATACATGTAGACAAGACATTCCACATAAAATAAGTGAATCTACAAATAAAATAGCGTGGGATATTTTGAAGAAAATATTATCATAGGAATAGAATAGTAAAAAAGAGGCCATCTTCACATCTCTCTAGACCTTGTACAGGCCTCATTCATCACTTGTGTTCAGAGGAGAGGTAGGGAGAACCTACATGGATTATAACGGACAAGACCCTTTTTATTGAAAGGAAAACTCATAGTCGTGTCACCAGGAAAGCAGGTGTCTGATCCAGCTACCATACTCACAATGACTTATTACCAATGAAACCCACAAACTGAATAACTAAACCTTAGAGGTCCAGAGTCACAGCAGACAGTAGAGGAAGCAACCCAGCTACCAGTTATGCACAAAACAACCCCCAATAGGACAGTTTTCCAGTGCTCAGGGGTCCCAACACATCCCTCTGGGAGCATATCCTTTTGAAGACTGGCAAATGAGTTTCAGCCAGATATCCGAGGTCATGAGAAACTACATACTGGTTTTGTCTGATCTTTTCTCCAGCTGGACTGAGGCACATCCTCGAAACCCAGAAAAATCTCCAAGTGACTTCAGTTTACATAAACACATTATTCCTAGCTCTGGAATGTCTGACTTCTTAAGGAGATAATGGTCCTACCTTCAACTCCATAATAAATGAATGGGGAGGGGCTGGAGGGGAGCAGAGCTCCAGTTCACTGGAAATACACACCACCCAGAGACCTTGATTGACAGCTAACGGAAAGGATAAACTTCAGAGACTGCAGGGGATGGGAAGATGACTCAATAAATGGGTCAGAGTGTATGCTGTAAATGTTGATATATGGTGCTAGGGAGACCTTGGTGGATCCCATGGCTGGTCAGACAAACCCGCTATGTAGGCAATTTTCCTTCCTCAAGGGGCGTGGTGCACTGTAAGCACTGAGCTGTTTGATAATTGTGACCTTTGTGTCTTAGTGGTTTTTCTTTTCCTTCTTCTTTCTTCCCATCAGTTTTTCGTCCTGTTCATCAGCTCCTCCTGCTAAGTTATCATGGTTAAGAAAATGTGAGGCCAGGCTACCCTGGGTGAGGCTCCTTCCTCAAACCTCCTATGAGGGAGAAGGCCTGACCCCTTTGTTCTACGCTATCCTGAGGGGAAGTGGGAGCAGGCTGAGCCTATATCCCAGGAAACCGAGCCTGGGTGTCTTAGTCTTACTGTATGCACCTGCTCCCCTCAGGGAAGGTCCCGAAGTCTTACTTTTTCCATTATACGGTACTATTCTGACTCCTCTACACTTATTAAGTGAACTCTTGCCCTTAATGGTTCAGGCTCAGGATCTGGACTGCAGGACCTTTATTTTCAACTTTTCCATTCTTCCTGTAATCAGGAGGGCACAGTGGGGATTCCTGTGTGTAGAGTCATCACACTTTATGGTTCCACAGTGGCAGGTATTTTTTTTCCAAAGAATTATTTGAAGAGGCCACCATTTTATACATTTTCTTGTGTGTGTGTTTCCTTTTGTTTTTTTCAGACAGGGTTTCTCTGTGCAGTTTTGTAGACCAGGCTGGCCTCCACCTCACAGGGATCTGCCTGCCTCTGCCTCCTTCAAAGTCAACACTAAATTTCCCAAAGGAAAAGGCATAAGGGAACTCCATAACACATAGTGAGAATCATTAAAATGAAAGAGGGTGCTGGAAAATCGTGATCCACAAAGTCAAAATGCTGAACTTTGTGAAGCAGTAATGGTCACTATGCAGTCCACACCAGACCCAAGATCACACACTGAGAAATGAATGGACCCTTATCACGTGCCCCTAACCACTCTCACCTACAGGGTTAGTTATGCTGTGGAGTGACATCTGAATGAAAAAGACCACCAGGCAGACTCTACTCCCAGGTTACTTGCAGGTCGAGGCTGGGTGGCACTCCTAGAAGGCAAGACTGATCTTAAGCCACCATGAATGAGTGAATGGATACGGCACTTCATTGAAGTCCATCATTAGATTGTAATAGGTCCCCTCCCCCCATAAATTTCTCCCTGATGCAGTAAGCTAGATCAAGCTGAATCGAAAAGTGTAACAGGTCTATTGAAAGCAACTCCGGGACAGGTTCTCTGGTCCCAGAGTTTGAGGTCAGAGAAGTCACAGCCCCAACTACAGCAAGATTTTATAGGTTGTAGGCAAAGGGTGATATGTCTGCCACAGCTGGGTTTGTGCCCAAGGATAGTCAAAAGCCGAGTTCATAGGCAAGGACTAGGACAGCTGGCAACTGCAAGGAGGGCCAAGGGAAGCTGCAGTAGCAGCTAAGTAGCTGTGCTTTTTAACACCTTTCCTTTTTTTTTTTTTTTAAGATTTTATTTATTATGCATGCAGTGTTTTACCTGCATGCTTGCCTTCACGCCACTAGATGGCACCATGTCTCATTGTAGATGGTTTTGAGCCACCATGTGGTTGCTGGAAATTGAACTCATGACCTCTAGAAGAGCAGCCCAGTGCTCTTAACTTCTGAGCCATCTCTCCAGCTCCCCAAAATATTTTTGTTTTTCTTTGTTTTTGGAGACAGGGTTTTTCTGTGTAACAGTCCTGGCTGTCCTGGAACTCATTCCCTAGACCAAGCTGGCCTTGAACTGAGATCCTGCCTCTGCCTCCCAAGTGCTGGGAATAAAGGCGTGCACCACCACTGCCTGGCTGTACCTTTTCTTTATTCAGAGACTCTCTGAGTGGGTGGGGTTTGGAGAGGTCGAGTGGGGGGGCAGGGAATGGGGCATTCCGAATTGTGCAAGGGTGAGCCATACACAGGCTTCAACCATAGGCTTGAAGCGAACTGGTTGCTCTAGAGAAACTGTAGTACTGAGAGAAAATTTCTATTTGGCTCAGGAATGTGAAACTTTTTCTCACTACTTGGTGAGAACTACCTCCTCTTTTTCAAAGCAGAACCCTACAATATGAGGGAGTCAAGAGCAGGTCAATGTCACTCACAGGAAAGACCTGTACCTGGAGGCTGACTTCAGACGAGCTTGGCTACAAAGGACGGCTGCCTATGTACTGAAAAACTAAATGACTCTGAGTTGCCTGAATAATGAGCTGTACTATCTAACAGATGTGTAATACAACTGTCACTGTTTCACAGCAGTTTCATTCCTGGGAGCCACAAACAAAAGTCTCACCATACCTTGGTTGGTCTGGAGCTCACCATGTAGACCAGGCTGGCTTTGAACTCTGCCTTGGTAGGATTAAAGCACTGGGCACCACATCGTCACAACTGGTTTTAGCTGAGGACTCGACAGCCACCTTTGATCATGGCTTCTTGGAGCCACTCTACTGTTCTAGAAGCTCCCTTCAGTTTCTAACTCAGGCCTTACCCAGACTCACAAAAAGGTCTCAAGTCTTTGCTTAGAGAGACTAAGGGCTAGAATGCAGGCCCCAGTTTGTGAGGTCTACTTACGTCCTGAGCTGGGTGAAACTGCCACATAAAGGAAGGTTATTCTCTGAGCATGTTCCTCCTATTCACAATTCCTCCTCACAAGCATGGCATGGCAGCATACACAATCCTAGTACTGGGGAGGCAGAAGCTATGTATGTGTTCGAGGATAGGCTGGTCTACATAGCAAGTTCCAAGACAGTCAGAGCTGTAACTTACATACCTTGTTGCAGCCAAAATCAAGCAAAAATTCTGTTCAGGCTAGCTGATGGGGGATGTTCTTCTGTATATTTGTTTCTCTTATTGATTGATGAATAAAACACTGATTGGCCAGTAGCCAGGCAGGAAGCATAGGCAGGTATACCAGCCAGAAGGCTGGGGAGAGAAAGGCAGAGAGGGGTTGCCATGCTGCTGGAGTAACATGCCAGATTACAGGTAAGCCATAGACTCGTGGAAATACATAGATTAATAGAAATGGGTTAATAATTAAGAGAGAGCTAGCCAGTAAGAAGCCCTAGCCGAACAGTTTAATAATTAATATAGTGGGGAGGACTGATGATCAAAGGGATTAAGACTGGGCTGGTTTAACCCCCAGAAACAGCTGACCAGAAAAAGGTTAACTCTTGAATCCCAGGCATTAGCCTGGGAAGCCAGCATGAGACTGATCAAGACCCCCCTGAATCTGGGTGTCAGTGAAGAGGCCTAGGGAATCTATTGAGCCTTGGGCAGCAGATCAGTACCCATCCCAAGTATACACATGGACTTTGGACTCCAATAGAACAATGTGAGGTGCACTCTCACCCTGAACTCTTGGGGAAGGGTCTAGGCCCTGCCCTATATGAAATGACACACTATGGACACCCCCATGGAGGGCCTCACCCTCCCTGGAGAAATGAGGGGATAACAGGGGGGGGGCACGGGAGGAAGGGAGGGAATGGGAGAGGGACCTGGAACTGACTTGTGAAGCAACCTTGATTCTTATCTAAATTTAAACTGGAAAATAAAATAAAAAAAAAAAATTAATATAGTGTCTGTGTGTTTATGGGACCAGATGGGACAGAAACTCCATCTTCAGCTAGCCAGATGGTTCATTGGTATACGTACTTGCTGCCAAACCAATGACTTGAGTTCAATCCCTAGAACCCAAATGGTAAAATGGTTGACTGCTGCCAAGCTGTCCCTTGACCTGTACACATGCACTGACAAATATATACACCCACAACAAAAATAAACACGGTAATATTATCAAGAGGCAACATATATAGTTATAGTTATGAATAAGAAATGAGCTTGTTTAGGTTTGGATCCTGTGGTAGCTTCACCGAGACCCGTGTATGGAACTGTTTGGGAAGGATTAGGAGATGTGCTGCTAGTGTTGGGCTTTAAGATTTCAAAAGCCCAGGCTATTCCCAGTTAGCTCTCTGTCTATAGATTATAAGCTGTCAGCAACTGCTCCAGCACCAGGCCTGCCTACTGCCATGCTCCTTGCCATGATGGGCATGGATTCATCCTCTAAATTGTAAGCCCCCAATAAACTTTTCCCCCCTATAAATCAGCCACGGTGTTTCTTCACAGTAATAGAGAAATAACAAAGGCTGCTCCCATCCTAAGATAGTTCATGACATATAAATAAATATTCTAAAATATGAAACCCCATTTGTCCTAGAATTTTGCATAAGGGACTCAACCCAAATTTGAAGTCACAGGAGGTCAAAGGCACTAGAAATAATGTTTGAAAGCCACACCTTTGCAGCCCATGTGCTCAGTGCTACCGGCTACTTATTACTGATACTCATCTCCTTTCGTACAGTCAAGAAGCTTCCACCTGAATGCAGGAAACAGCTTGGCCAAGAAGACCCAGTGAGAGAAGAGTAACCACTCAACTTCTACATTCAGAACTCCAGAAACACACTCTGAGTATCACAAAAGTTTATTTAGCAAAAAGTTTCTTATGAAAATGTACACGACCCAGCTCTACACCCCAATCAAACAGTCCTTTGGGGAATGATGTGAACTCCTCTGCTGAACAGCCATTGTTTAGACTCTTTCCAAAGCTTCTAACATGATGATGCTGTTTCCTCGTATGACCTAAAGAAATCAGTTGAAAAGAATAATTCATTTAAAAGACAAATTACAATATAATACCTTTTCAACATGACCCATTAGTGAGGCTCTTCTCAAGCCACAAAGACCAAGTATCTGTGACTTAGCTTTTGGGAACCAGAGTTACAGGACTGTGACAACCACCAGCTGTTTCTTCATCTTTAAACAGGGACATTAGAGAATAGCCACTATATAATGACAATGATAACAATGATAATGATAATAGCAATAATACATTAAGATTCTGAGGGGTGAGATTACAGGTATGCATTACCACACTGAACTCTGAAATAAGTAATACTAACTTTCCATCTGAAATGATGTAAAAGAATGATTTCAAATACACGAATAAAATAGTAAAAGGGGTCTACCTTTACCCTGCTACTACTCAACCTTAACAAAACCAAAGGTCCAAGGGGTTGGGCACTCAGCTCAGTGGATGAGGTCCTATTTTCACCATAGGAGGTGTGATGGTTTGAAAGAAAATGGCCCCCAGAGGCTCAAAGGAAGTGGGTTTTGAGGTTTCAGAAACTCAAGTCAGGCTGTGCCACTGTTGCTTCCTACTGTACATGGATCCAGATGTAGAACTCTCAGCTACTTCTCTGGCACCACACCTGTCTATATGCTACTATGCTTCCCATCATAACAGACTAAATACCTCTGAACTGTAAGCAA